AATGTCAGCACTGAAGTGCTGAATCGTACTGCTGTAGACAGCATTTCAAATTCTTTTTTTGCCCTAAGTTTTCCTGCCAAAACTTTCTGATCTAATTTTCTATATGTGCCCTGCCCTAAAATATTTGCTTTCATTACTCCACTCCAGTGATTTTGAACTTCATTGCTTCTTGCTCCATTGTGGCCACAACTCCAAAGTTATAACTTATGCAATGCTGGTTTAAAAAAAAAAAGTCTTATCTGAAAAAAACTGCACCAACCTAAGAGAAATTGTACTTTTTATACTCTCGACTAAGCCGTTACTATGCCATGTGCCACCAATAAGATAACGACACTATAGGACACTATAAGCAGTCACACTCTCACCTGGCAAGGCCGGGAGATGAGGAAGAGGCCAGGGTGAGGCCACACACCGCACTGTGAAATGCTCTACAACCACTAAGTTATCATCGGGGCCTGATCAGTCTTCAAACCCAAGCCCCACAGTTTAGTAAAGCACAAGAACCCGAAGACCTACAGCTCTGTCTCTACACACAGGGCAGGGGCTGGCAGACTCTGTCTATAAGGGCTCAGAGACTAATTGCTTCATTTTCTGCAGGCTACAGGGTCCGCTCTACCGGGAAGCTGAGTTGTCTGTCAGCAAGGCAGACAAGAGCAGACGAATGGATGGGGCCGCGCTCTGAAATGACTATTTGTCAAAGCAGGCAGCAGGCCCGATTTGGCTCCTGAGCCGCCCGCTACGGGTTCGGGCGCCCGGGCATGTTAGCACTCCCGCACGTGTGCATGGGTAAGTGAGCGCGCACCCACGTGCAGCAGCTCGCCGCGTCTCTCCCGCTCCCCACTGCCTGGGCCGCACCACGGGCCTGCGATGGGTGCGGGCAGACGCGGCCCCGTGTTTAGAAGCCCGCCGTCTAGTGCTCTAAGGTTGACATCTTGACCTTCTCCATGACTGTCTACCGGCACTTGAGTTTTGTCAGAGAAGTCTGATGGGACCGTGGCACCGCTGCTCGGGGCCGCCGTCCTGTCCCTCCACTGCCTCACAGCAGCCCCGAGATGGTACCAGGGACTTATTCCCCTGTGGTCCCTCTTCTGGCCCGGGCAGGGTGGAGGTCTGCCCTGTGTCTGGGGCGGAGCCAGGTCATGGGGGTGGGGTGCAGGTGGGGTCGTGTATGCTGTCGTCCCCTGCCTCTGACAGGAGCCCAGATGTGCATCCGGGGAAGGTGGGGCTGAGCGTGTGGACCCCTGTACCCCTGACATCGCACGGCGGGACGCAGGCACGGCCACATCCCTGCCTCAGACGACACCCAGCGGCCTCACTGTCGAGCCTGCTGGCCCTGATCCAGCTACCAGGTAGGTCTCCCCATGAGTAGCCCTGCACTGGAGGTCGTCATCGGAAGTTAAACGGCAAATAAAAAACACCATAACTGGGCGCGCACGCCAGAGAGAAAAAGGGACAGAGGGAGAGAGAAAGGCTATAAGAGAAAGGAAAATTTTTATATTTTAATAGCTTTAAAACATCACTTTTTTCCCTGCATTTGAAATTCCTGCATCTTCCTCTTACACTATGTCCTGATCAAACCTTTGAGCTCTGAAGAATCACCTTCAGAGATCCACCTACCAGAATGGAAGGTGACAAAGAAAATTCTACTTCTGCATCAGCCGTAACCTTTGTAACGGGCTTCCAGTTGCATTCCTGAACCTTAAATGTAAGATTCTGCAATTAATTATGAATTTTGGCTTTCAGACTCTACAGGGCTCATTTCAAGCTATGGCGATTGGGGTTGTGGCATGGTAGCCATTTTCCATCAGATAGTTGGCTATAGGATTAATTCATATTTCTTTATGATGACCCAGCATCATTCTGGGGCACCTTGTAAATTCAGAGCACAATCAAAACATGTGTGAAATTTAATGAGACAACAACGGATAAAGAAAGTTGAAATTTTGCTGAGATATCCTTTTATTTCCTGTTAAAGAAGCTCAAACCATAACATTCTGACATGCAAAAACGCACCTGTCTGATTCTAAAAAACCAGCCATAAAACAGACATTGTTAGGATGGCCAGAGGAGTGTGACTATGGGCTGGGCATTCTCAGATATTAAAAGAATTATTGTTGGTATTGTCCTGTGTGACGATGACATGGTGGTTGTGAAAAAAAAAATCCTTCATAGATGCACACTGAGGGGTTCATGGGTGAAGTAACATCATATCTGAGATCTGCCTCAAATACTTCAGCAAAAGAAGAGGTGGGGGAAGGAGACAGAAGCAGAGAATGCGGGAGAGAAGACGAAGAAACAGACAATGACAAAGACAACAAAGAAGAGGAAGGAAGAGGAGAGAAAAAATATCCCATGAAATCGATGGAATAGGAATGGCAAAATGATGAGCCTAGGTGATGGGAATGTAGGAGTTCCTATTAACATCTTTTCTGTAGGTTTTTAAATTCCTATAATGGAGTGTGAGTGTGTGTGTGTTTGTGTGTGTGTGTGTACCTGTTGCCTACAAAAAATTTCTAATAAAAATCAGGGTATAGATTTTTCCTTCTCCTCTAAGCCAATTTTTTTTTGGGGGGGGGGGGTACAAGAAGCTGTCTTCTCAGGCTGGCGGCAGCAGTCTTTGCTTACGTGATACAAAGGAGTTGATGGGAAGGATAATCTACCCGTGGGTTCCTGACACAATATAAAGAAGAAAAGGAGAAAGTGGGAGGAAGAGATTGCTATTGTTACTCCCCTAACCCTTCCTTCTAATTATGCCAGAGTCAAGGTTCGGGTCACAAAGAAAATGATTTTCGTGGCCCACCATTTGCCCTATTTTTGTAGACATCAAAAAAAGCTCTTGTTTTTTTTTTTTAAACCACATTCCAATCTCAGTTTCCCACCTACTTTAAAAATGTATCAAGAGTCCAGATTAACAAAAATATGAATACAATGACCATAGTAGAAGGAATGCTTTGTTTGTAAACCTAGAGATGGCCTTGCTACGCTCACTGGCGTGATGTTCAACACTCTAAAAGTTAAATACACTTTGTATTATTAAAAGTATTTCAGATAAATGCCCCACATGCCCAGCTTTTAAAAGTTGGATGTAAATTTCTCTCTTGAGTGCAGATGGTGGCCAAGCAAAGGGGCTCTTTGGTCTTGCAGACAGAAGGTCAGGTCATGGCTGAAAGACCAAAGAACAATTGCTGCTTTGCTCGTCCAGATCATCCTCAGAATGAGACACCACTCCTTTCTTTTCTGAAACTGTCTGTTCCATACAGAATAGTTACAAAGAGTACCTATAAGATTTCCTCACATTCTGTCCAAGAGAAAATGGTAACGAGCACATCATATCACAAGCATCTTGTAACCATTCCGAGGTTTTATTCCTAACCCTCTGACCTCCTGAGAAGGCACATCTTTATCTAAAAACACTGGAAATCATTAAGAAAACTGCTAATGTTTCACTATTTAGCAGGAAATGGTTAACAAATGAACACGGCTCCTTTTATAATCCTGCAACTTTAGCCTCCACATCATTGCTTGTTAATTGCCAATACCTATAAGCTCTGAAAGACAAATATTACAAACACTTCTACATGGTATTCACTTACACATGATATGCTAATCTTATTATTCCTATAGTGTTTTTTCTCCTTGGAACATTAACCTGTAATTTTAAATAACTCAGACACTCTTCCTATTTTTTTTCCAGTTAGTCCAAGATGTTGTATTGGGTAGATGCTATAAAATAATATTACAAAAGTATATAATAATGGTAGTAAGTTTCCCAAGATGATACCCCTAAAAAAAAAAGTCATAATACATCAGGAAAGGAAAGGAAAGTTCCATTTGTTTGGTAGTCTTAGTCTTTCAGTCGAGGACAGAGAGGCTTTTCAATTTCACTATCAGGCACGCCCCCAACTGGATGCAATAAAATAGTTTTGTTATCTGTACATGTTAATAATGAGAATTCTGAAAATTAAAAGTCCTAACACTCTGAGTATAGTAGTACAGAAGCAGAATCTGATTTTAGTTGTTCAGATGTTAACTTTAGTGCCAGGGATTTCAGCTATGACTTGAAAAACTTTCTGTACTAAATTTCATTATCACTTTCATTTTTAATACTTTTCCCAACTGTCTCTGTGTCATCTGCATAGAAAGTTGACAGGGTTGAAAGGGAAAATATGCTGGGAAGTCCAATAAAATGCTTTGAACTAGAAATATGTTTCAAAAAAATTATTAAGGGCTACCTACTTTTAAATGTGGCGATTTTTTTTTAAATGTTGACATTGAGAACTCATTTTAATGGAAGAGATTTATCAATCTGCTTTTGGTGAATATAAAGAATGAGAGCCTCCAATGTTCTATACTATCACATAAAAATAGAAAATCCAAAGTGAGTCTATTAGAATTGCCTCTCTAAAAACTTAATCCATGTCGTCAATTAAAATCAGAGTATCTACATGATCTCAACAGAGATATAACATAAAACATCTGTTCAGCTGAGATTGAAGTAAGTAGCATTTCCCCCTAACATTTCTAATTTCCCTGTATTTAGGCTTCTTGAGCAAACATATTCATGGTTATCTTAGTTAAAACTGGTTTCACTCTGCCAACAATCAATTTGATTGACATATTTACATATCAACTCATCTCATCTTACAAATTTTAAACTTTTTCACTTAAAATTGGATTCAAGTTGGCATCTTTCAAGAACTTTATGTACGTATATTTTAGGTTCAAACTGTGCATTAGAACATTTTTTTTTACTTTTGTAAGTAATAGATACACATATCCAAATGTATATTTATGACCTGTCAGATTGGGATTTTATATGCATGCGGTTGTATTCTCACCATTTCATGTGAAAGGTGATAATTTTAGGCTACTAGAAATGAAGTTATTTTAACAGTATATACTGGATTGTTTCATTAGCTAGAAGCAATATAATAGAAATGAAATAACTTACGTCTTTAATTAGGTCTTTAATTGCTGCAGTTACCCTTGCCATCTCTTACCTGATCTTTCATTTCAAGGTCCCTTTTAGTTTTTGTTCTGTACTCTCTGTGCTCCTTCTCTGCCTCATCCTTCTCCATTTTGGTTTTATTCAACTGATAGCGCATTTCCCCACACACCTGTTAGATTGTAAAAAATACATCAATAGCTGCTGGAATCTACCAGGCAATGCCTGCAATTAGATCATTTGGTGCCCCCTAGAGGTCATGTAAATAAAATACACTAGAACTCAGAATTCTAAGAATGGCATTTTCTGTTAAGAGTATTCAATGTATTCTGTTAAGATGCGAAAGCAGTATCAGGTACTACTGAGTTTAACAGTTTCAGATTACAGATAAAGGAATGTATAACTAAGAAATTTAAGTAATGTGCCCACTATTTTTTGTGGGAAATAATAGTTTCAAGTGCATACTATTATCCATAATGTATTATTTCAATCTTAACTAGGTGAAATCATTAATTAAAATATTAAGCTATGTTAATCCTCATTAAAGTTATTACAGTGAAATAGACATTCTATAAAATAAAGCTTTCCTTTAAAGATTTGATTAGCTAGCTAGGCTTTTATTTAAAAAATTTATAAAGGAATTTTTCTCTCTGCCAACAGGCTATATGATCGGTGTTTAGGTGTGCGGTGGTCCCCAGTATTTACTGCAGTCTCTGTAGATAACATCAATCATATGCACAGTGCTATGCACTTAGATGAAGAAAGACTGGTAAGAGTCACAGACTGGAATCATGCACACTCTGCATTTATAACTGTAGCATTCAACATAAAAGGAAAATATACATTTAGGTGAAACGATTTTAACATTTCATTAAATAATGAACACACATAGCATCCTGAAAGTGTTGTGTATCATCCCTTATACAATTTGTTTTTCAATCCAGGGCTTATACAGACAGGTAGATATATTTGGTAAACACAATCAGCAGATAAATCTAAATAAAGAAATTATGAGCCTTTGAGATAACTAAGAACGTGTAGAGAGATTAACACATGAGTCTGTTAATCCAGTCTCTGATTTACAAACACAGGTTTTTAAAAATCACGTATCATCTGATGGTTACAGTTGCTTGAAACTTTTCATTTCTGGTATTTCTCCAAAAATGACAATTGGAACTTTAGAAATTAGTTTGATCATTACTGAGGTATTCTAATCTTATTAAAACCTGCATCTGTCTCCTATGCTCACACCAAAAATGCTTTAGAAAATAAACAAATCTGTATCTAAAAGTTATAGTGACGAGAGAGGAAAAAGTCAGTAAGTTTCTCCCCAGTGATCCTCAAAATACTAGAAAAAAGAATACAGTTACTGAAAATTCTATTTGAAATTCAAATTCAAATGCCTTAAATGGGTCAGAGCTGACCCTTCCCATTTCAAAAACACTAGTAATTTATATAAAAGTTATTAATTTTAAAGCTAAATGAAGTGTAAAATGAAGAATGACAGGAAAAAAAATTAGAGGAGCCCTCATTTCCTTTCTTTCTTGGTTCTTCATGATTCCAACCTATTTGATGTATGCATATGAATGAAATGAAAAAACCCAAATTGATACTAGAAAATAATAATTACACAGCCATGGTATTTCAAACCCAATACCAACACATAGTTATCTTGTAATAATAAATGCCTACATATTTAGTTTTATTTAAAATTATTTTGGGGTGCCTGGGTGGCTCAGTTGGTTAAACACCTGACTTCAGCTCAGGTCATGATCTCAGGGTTTGTGGGTTCGAGCCCTGCATCGGGCTCTGTGCCGACAACTCAGACAGAGTCTGGAGCCTGCTTTGGATTCTGTGTCTCCTTATCTCTCTGCCCCTCCCTCAGTTATGTTCTCTCTCTCTCTTTCTCTCTCTCTCAAAAATAAATAAACACTAAAAAATGTTTAAATTATTTTATCCCTTAATTTTATTTTTAAAGTTCCCTTGCTGTATTAACTACCACGTTAGCATCTGCCAAGTTTATCCGTAACACTTCAATCTCATCTAAAAGAAACTAATAAATTAAATTGAAATAGAATGATTTCATCTCAGGGTTGGAGCCACCTCAGGGTACCTCTCTGATGCCTGAATGGTTTTTTGGACAGTTCTAAAGACAGAAGAGGCATCTAGACTGTTCATGTTTCAACAGAACATTCTTTCCCTACAATGGACTGAATGGTCACCCCAGCTTTCCCCCCAAATCTGGATTAACCACCGCCCCCCCATCCCCACTCCACTATGTCCACCCCTACCCTCCACACAAACACACTGATGATACTGGCAAATACGATAGCTTTAAACCTCGACACTGGCTAGCTTGAATTTTAGAAAGCAAATGGAGAATTAAATTCATGCAGAAAAAAAGAAAAAATGGGCTTTTTTTTCCTTCTATATATGACGAAAAATTGTATTTACTAAATTATAAAGCGTTGGCATTACATATGTGTCAACATTTAGGAAAATATGTTGATAGGTAAAATGCAATATGAAAAGGGTATACATTACAAACAAAATTATCTGTGTACATATTGGTAAAAAAATAAATCTACTTAATTTATTACATCATGCATGCCCATACGTAGTTTCTTAGTTTTAAGGCAACTGCAAACTGAAATCTACATGGACTTCCAGCGTTTCGTAAACATGTACCTTACAGTAGCCAGTTAAGACTGTTCAACATTTTAGTTCTTGGTTCACAGGGCTGTGATGCCCAAAGGGCAGACACTGGGATGTTTTGAAGTATAAATTTAAGGACCAATAAAATAAGATTCTTAGTATGAGAACCTTGATTTTAGAGATCAGGTATGAAAAGGAATGGGAGGTGGAGCATTTTTTATTTTAAGCAACTCTTGGCGTTGTAAATGTATGTCTTTTGCTATTTTTGTGGGGACCAAACCAATGCGATCTTTGGCAAATATTTTTCCCAACTGTGTAACTTAGAAATACAAGTATTATCAAACACTCAATGATTAAAGTAATGAAACCTGCTTAATGAAAAGTCTGTCTCAGCCACTTTGAGTTCTTCAAGGACATTATTTGCGTCTAATTCATCTTTGTCTTTGTAGCACCCATCAAAGGGCTTGCCAGTAATAAGTAAATATTTGCCTCATGAGCATGAGGTGGACCTTTACTATCTTAAATAAGAAAACCTTTCTATTCCATGCTTCTTTCTGAGGTTTGTACATTAGAAAAAAATATAAACTAGAATCTCATTTTGTACCTTTGCGACATCCATTTCTTTGGAAGCAAGCTGGTTTTGAATTTCCTCTAGTTGATTAATAGCTGAAATCTTCTCTCTTGTAACCTTTTCAACCTGGACCTCCAGTTGGGCAATATTTTGAGACAGAGACAGTATCTATAAGAGGAAGGACAATATCTATAAGAGGAAATAAAAGTCCTAAATTATGATGTCACTTGACAAAATAAATACTAAGAACACTGATTACTCAACCTTACAAAAAGAATGAGATCTTGCCGCGTGCAATGACATGGATGGATGTAGGGATGGTAATGCTAAGTGCAGTAAGTCGAAGAAAGACAAATACCATATGATCTCACTCATTTGTAGAACTTAAGAGACAAAGCAAAGGGAAAAAAGAGACAAGAAAACACACACTCCTAAATACGGAGAAAAAACAGGTGGTCACCAGAGGGGAGGTGGGTGGGGGTGGGTGAAATAGGTGAAGGGGATTAAGAGTACACTTATCTTGGTGAGCACTGAGCAATGTATCATTATATTGTGCACCTTGGACTAATAAAACACTATGTAAGAAAAAAAATCTTGAATTAATAGTCCGTGTGGCCACTGGGTTCACTCCCAAGTCATTTCTCTGTGGATCAGGCACGTCCATTTTTCCACCACCTCCACTCACCCATCCCCCGTGACTCAAATATGTACTTCCTTCCCATTTATTCCTGGGTCTCTACCCTTGTTTTGAGAAATACAGAAAGATGATAAAATCAAAATTGGGGTTGAAACTTTAGTGGAAGAGACAGATACAAATCAATTTCAGAGGCGATATCAAGAAAATCGATATCAAAGTCTTGAACCCTCCTCTCACACGGAAGGACAAAAGGGCTGGTCAGGCTAGCTGGAGAGGCAGACCCTTCAGAGAGAGCAACTGGGATTCTATGCACCCCACTCTCCTTCCCCCGACACCAACAGAGGAGGCTTTCTGCAACTTCACTTTGCTATAAAAAACCACTATCCCCGCTCCTCCAGGAAGGTTTCTTTGATCCCTTGTTCCCAGCACGTAATAGGAGCCCTTCATGCACTCAGGGCTGCTATTCAGCTATTGAGTCCTGGGGAGGCCATGTCTGCTGTTTGCAGCCGACGTCCACTCTCACGATCTGCTGCTCATGAAGTACTGGTAATTTCATATCTCAACTCTCCTTCTGGCGTGCGCTCGCACAACTTGTATGTATCTCCATCACACTGCAAGGTCTGCACGCCTCCAACACTGTGCATATCTCACTGCCTTTAGTTGTCTGTTTCCTCATTAGACTGCAAGTTCCTCAAGGCCTATTCCTCACCATATGTATGAGGAATGGATCATCAGAATAAACAGCTCTTCTGAGGCACTGTCCACTCTACAGATCTCAAGTCCTTAGTGTTTCTTCTCAGGGTGAGAAATGGTTTCCAGGTCTTAGAGTTAACCCATTTTACAGGTTTTTCTTTGCAATTATATTTTACTCTGCTCCAGTAAGTCAAAATTTCCTAGACTCTTAATTTCTTATTTGTATTAGTAGTTTTAAAATGAAGAAGAGGGGCACCTGGGTGGCTCAGTCGGTTGAGCGTCCGACTTCAGCTCAGGTCATGATCTCACGGCTCATGGGTTCAAGCCCCGTGTTGGGCTCTGTGCTGATAACTAGCTCAGAGCCTGGAGCCTGTTTTGGATTCTGTATCTTCCTCTCTCTCTGACCCTCCCCTGCTCATGCTCACTCGCTCTCTCTCACTCTCTCTCTCAGAAATAAATAAAAAACATTAAAACAATTTAAAATGAAGAAGAAATACTATCTTCCTCGAGAGTGAAACACACAGAGATATCTATCAGCTTTTAATTTGTTAAACAAGAACTCATACAAAACTGAAATAATATTTTAAATCTACCATTGTATACTGACATAGGTGTTAACTCAGTTTTAACAAGTGAAATCAATAACTCAGATTTTGTGATACAGATCAGGATTGTATATAACTAGCTAATGTTGACACATATGAAATAATGAGCCCTGGTAGCTATTTTCTAATTAAATGGTAGATGTATTAATTAACTTTTCTGGGGATCGTAGGGAATTGTGTATTTGATGTATGGTTTGTTTACATGTCCTTCTTATCATCAAAAGATTGGCTAAAAATCTAATTTGTACATAAAATTACTTTTACTGATACCCAGCTACAAACTTTCCTAATTCACATTGCAATCTGAACCCGAAACTGAAAGTCAAAAGAAGTTAAGTGTAACAAATAATAAGATTGATTTATAGCCTTAATTTGAAAATTCAAGTTCATGAGTATCCATATTATGAATGTAATTCTAGCTTCTCTGGAACCATATCACAGCAGCAAACTTTAATATCCAGCTACTAAAAATCATATTTATGTGAAGATGTATCTTATGGTAAACACATTAACATTGGTGGCTCTGCATACATTTACCTGCTAACTGTAAATTCCGAGTCAGTTTCTATTACAAGCGTGTAACAAATCACATTCCTTCCATCTGACCCCCTCCCTCTGCCACCCATCACTTCTTCTGCCCACTACCTGTCTGCTCCCTCCTGTCACCCACTTCCTGAGGCCTCTGCTCCTGTTGTCACACCTCCTTTTCCCCCACGCCCACCATCTGGAAGTCAACATTACACTGCAGGAGCTTCTCCATCCACATCTGTTGCGGAGGCACAAGTAACATGGACAGCTGCAACACTGCTGGATGTCCGGGGCGTTGACATCAGGCAAGTCCTTTAAACTTTGACAGGGGCAAGCAGGAGACAAGGACACCCAGGCTGGGCGACTTGATGGAAATCTCTACGCAAAGGCGGGGTCCCTAGTGTACTGAACATGATACCAAGTGGTGCTCACTATACAACGGGTGCAAGAGTTAAGGATTCTAGCAACGGACTATTATCTAGGGAACCAACTGAAAAAAAATGGGTAGACCACAGGGGGCGCTCAATAAATATGATCAATGGCGCATTGAACTAACAAACCTAGGGGCTCGGTGCAGCCAAGGACCGTAACAGAAGACAAGAAACAAACTCCCAGCAAGTACTGCTCATGGGGGAATGATTCGAAATCTGTCTAGGTAGAAGACATCTGCTCTCCTACAGCTTCCCACACACACGAAATTTAATGAGAATGAGTAAGAAGAAAGAAAAGAAAAGAAAGAAGACTAAAGAGAGAGAAGGAAAGTCTAAAAGCCTTGCAGGCTTTCCTCACTGCTAGGAAAGGGGGTGGCTCTAGCACGAACTAGAGTTCTCAGCGTTAGGATGAGCTGTTCTGTCTCCCTCTGATCCACTTCCTGCACGAGGCAGTGGGCTACACGCTTCTCTTTTAATCCCCTTGGAGAAGGAATTATATGGGATTAATTTTCAGTTGAAAAAAAGGGAGATTCTGAAAATTCAGGAATTAGCCTAAATGCATTCAAGCTAATGAATAAAAAGGAGAGCCAGGCTTTATATTCAGGTCTGTCTGATTTACGAATACGCAGGTGCAAGAAATCTACCCAATCAGCCTACTCCTCTTTCTGTGGAGTAAGAATGATCCTAGCCTCAAGCTAAAAGCTTGAAAACATTCCTATTTAAGCCCATCAATTCCTTGAGTAGATCAACCCCATCATTTACTCCTCTGAAATCTGGCCAGGTTAAAAGAATTGTTCAAGGGCACACAAAGGTCAAACTGACTTCAACTCCAAATCCTCTGACTCCGGAGCCACTTTCTGGCATTTCCTGAGGACAGCACTTGCCGGACTGTGAGAACCACTTTCAGCTCTTCATCCAGATGCTTTATTTAGGGCAGGACCTCGAGACAAAACGCCAGCCAAGGCTCACTGTGGACAAAACACGTGACTCGGCCTCAGCCGTACACTGTACTTCTGTGGCCACTTTTGTTCCTGGAATAATTATCAGTGTGAAGAAAGAGGCTGTGTTAGAGAGCCCCTGGAATACTGCCTGGCACTCTCGGCCTTCCTCTGTCCTTCCTTATCAGAAAGTCCCATCACCATATTTTTAGCAAGCAGAACTGCTCAGCAGGGCTAAAGGTTCCCACTGAACAGCCCAAAAATAAGAGTCTCCCAGGTGTGAATAATAGCTGGTCTTTGCTACTGGTCCCATTCTCTGTCACATGCACAATGCTCAGTTCACAAGGTCCCCTCTCTCCACGGCTTATTCTTGCTGGTCCCAGCCAGCACCCCTTCCCCCCATGCTCTGCATTTCTGAATCCTGGTTATCGGTCGACACTCCAAACGCCACCTTCCTCCCCAAATCTTCCATGAGCTCTTGCAGACACAGACCGTTCTGATCCTGCGAATTCACATCTTAGTCACACCTTTCCAATGGCACAGGGCCTCTCTTCTTCCCCTTGTATTACAGTCATTCATTCAACAGATACACGTGGAGCACATTCTATGTGAGTGGGATGTGCCAAGCAGTGACGATGGTACCCGACCACACATGCAGGGGACTCGTGGCAAACTGGGGGAGACAGACAATTCAACAAGAATTCACAACTAATTGAGTCACAGGAGCCCATAGGAGAGGCTCTGAATTCATCTCTGAAAGTAGGTGGTTATCAAGAAGAACTGGGGAGGATCAGTTAGGAAGGGCACAGAGCAGAGGATTCCTCTAGGGAAGGGGCAAAGCACATGGAAACTCCTGGAAAGAAAAACAGCAGAGCATATGGTGGTGAGGCAAGGAAATAAAGTGAAGGGAGAGGAGACGGGAAAACCGAAGACAGCAAGAGACATGTGGAATCTGCACGTGATGCTGAAGGATCCAAAATCTTCTCCAAGAGGAGGCAGAGAGACAGGTAAGGATTTCAAAGCAAGACATGGACATATTGATTTGTTCGTTTTGGAAAAACCACCCTGGCTGTGGCTTAGGGTGAGCGTGGAAGCAGGGGGAGAGCTGGGGGCTGTAGAAATCACCTAGGGGTGAGGATATACACGGCAGTGGGGCGGGAGACAGGGCAACAGAAAACTCCTAGGCGCCTGAACCTTGAGAATCTGGTGACTTCGTGATGAGTGGGGCGACGGTGGGGGGGGGGGGACAGGGACAGGAATGCCAGCGGGGTTGCGGAGCCAGGCAGCTGGGCGAAGAGTGGGAGCGTGGCAAGGCAAGCTGGTTTGGGGGCTCACTAGGGAGCCTGGGATTTAGGAATCGATGTCACATACACGAAACCCAGAGCCGCCCTAATGCCAAAGACACTGGAATATGATGCTCTCTGCTAAACTCTAGAACTTTCCATCGAGCTGCTTTCTGGGTGCGTCTCCTTCATTGTCTGGAAGGCACTTTAAACTCAGAGCAAACTGAAAGGTACACGTTATTATCCTCCCAAATCAAGAATATAGATCCAGAGAAATCAAGGAAGGAGAACATTTACTTATTTATTTTCTAAAAGTAGGCTCCATGCCCAGCGCAGAGCCCAACTCAGGGCTTGAACTCATGACCCTGAGATCAAGACCTGAGCTGAGATCAGAAGTCAGAGGCTTAACCGACTGGGCCACCCAGGTGCCTCGTAAAGAGAATCTTTTAAAGAGAATAAGAACTAAAAACTCTTCCCTTAAAACAGAACAGGAGGGCTTCAGTGGACATAGTGATGGTAATTCCACTGGCTGTGGGCACAGAAGCTGAAATGCAGGGGGCTGAGGAGGTAATTGGGGGAGAGAGCATAAAGACAACATGTACAGACAGAATTTTCAAGAAATTGGACCAAAGAGTAAGGATCACATGGAACTATTGTGGTGATTTCCAAACTGGGCTATACATCAGAGTCACTTGCACAACTTTAAAACATACTGACACCTAAATCCTACCCACAGCTACTTTCACATACTGGTTTGGGATGCAGATTGGGCAGTGAGATTTTGGAACTCCTGCGGCACCAACATTGAGAACCACTGGATTGGAAGAAAGATTGTTCTTTCAATGAGTGAGAGAGACTTGAGGGGCTTTTCCTGAGAAGGAGGAGGCTCCCTGAGGTACAGGGAGAGAAGGGGACCCAGAGCAAGGGAAAGAATGAGCGTTAAGTCCTCTCTCGTTCACCGGTGTTGGGATTCTGGTGAAATCACACGTGAAGCCACAGGTGAGGGGAAGATAGAGAGTTGAAGTGGTTACCACTTGCTGGCTTCAGTTTTCTTTGTTAGGTAAGTAGGACTCTCTGCTGAGAATGAGGAGACCATGGTATAGTAGAGAATTTGAGGAGAATAAAAGTGATTTACAAGAGTCTTTGGGGGCACCTAGGTGGCTCAGTCGGTTGAGCATCCGCCTTTGGCTCAGGTCATAATCTCACGGTCCGTGGGTTGGAGCCCTGCGTCGGGCTGACAGCTCAGAGCCTGGAGCTGCTTCAGATTCTGTCCCCCTCCCTCTCTGCCCCTCCCCCACCTCAAAAATAAATAAACAAAAAAAAATAGTCTTTGAAAATGGTCCCAAGATACCCTCATTTCCACCTGGACTATGATACTTACCTCCCACCTGATCTCCAGGCATTTATTCCGAGTCTCCTTCCAATTTACTGACAGATGGAACTTCTCAAATAGAAATGGCAGCATGACCCCGCCCAATTTAAAGTGTCCAATGGTTTTCCATTTGCTTTGGGATAAAACTTAAAACCTTTCACATGGATTTTAAGGCCATTCATGCTTTGGTCCCTGCATACTGCTCCAAACTCATCTCCCACTAAGGTCCCCCCGTCCTATGCTCCAGTCACCTGGGCCTCCTCTAAATTCCTAAAAAGTATGATGCCTGCTAGCTTTCAAGTCTGGGGGGGCCATTTCCCTGGGTCGGAGGCTCTTCCCCTGAGCTCTTCACCTGACTGCTACTGAGCGCTGTTGAGTCTCATCTTCAAAATCTCTTTCTTAAGCAAGTCTTCCATGGCCACCCGGCCTAGGTCAGATTTGCCTGTTCTATATTCTCAGGGTACCCTATACTATACTTTCTGGCATTTATCACAGTGGTAATTAAAAACTCATTTATGGAAGTGTGTGTTTAATGCCTTCCTCTCCCCTTCTCTGTAGGCAGGGCTGCACTGGTCCTGGGACGCCCCTAGCCCCTCCAGCTACTATCGGCTGCCCCGCGCTGAGTGGGAGAGAGTAGTGCACAGCCGCAAGAGCGCCGTGGGCACGTTGGTGCCGCCCGCAAGGCTCAGATCACCAGCTCCGGCCAGAGAAGGCGGAGTTAAATTGACACATAGTGGGGTTTTGACAGGCACACTTTTTTTTTTTTTTTTTTTTTTTTTTTTTAAGGATAAGACAAGGGAGTTTACAATAAATGCCTCCGGCACCCGTTAAGACTTGAAATTCACTGGATAGAGTTGGTGATTTTTCTCTTTATGTAACCTCAGGATTACAGTGCCTTGCACATGGCAGATACTCAGGAGAGATATGTGCTGAGTAAGGTAATTATCACACACTGGAATATTACAGCACAGCAGGCAGGGTACAAGCTGTGAGTTGCTGTAAAAAAACATGTAACAATTGTTTTTGTTATTTCATGGACCACATCTTGCTCAATGTTACTCTACTGTAGCAACTTTAAAAGCTAGGTATTCCAGTTTCTATTTTTTTAATTTACTTATTTTGGGTGAGACAGAGAGCGAGTGAACAGGGGAGGGGCAGAGAGAGAGAGGGAGAGAGAGGATTCCAAGCAGGCTGTCAGTGCAGAGCCGGACGTGGGGCTCGACCTCACGAACCGTGAGATCATGACTTGCCCTGAAATCAAGAGTCAGACCCTTATCCGACTGAGCCCCCTGGGCGCCCCTCTCTCTTCGTTTCTTACTGTTTCCCAAACTGTCCACCTCATGCTAGCTGTTCCTTTTGTCTTTCATTTCTCCCTTCCATTCATTCATTGGTTATGTTCATTATTCATCATGTACCTATTTTGTACCATGTATATAATCACTTTTTCTTGGCTAATTGGTTTCTTCCATGTGTTTTATCTTTTGAGAGGGGGGGATAAAGTGGGGGAGTCAAACTTAACCCTAACCTAGAAAAGCACCTGCTTTCCTCTAAGAAACAGGAGAGAGGGTCTCAAACAGAATGGAGGGATCAGAGCAAATTTTACAATTTCATAGCATGGAATTGAATTGGCTATTTAATATGGAGAGGTCCAAGAATATAACTTTTCTCGAGAAATACATAGGTAAAGGGAAAATGTTTCTGAACTCTAAATTATAAGCAACTGGCTACTCACAAGGTGTTTACAATTTAGAGTTCACTCAAGAATTACAGCCTATGGCGTCAGCGGTGAAATCACCAGACATTTCTGCTGTGGGACGGGGAACAAACTGAACAAACTGAATCCGCGGGTACCTTTGATTTCACGTTCTCCCTCTCTTCTGTTATTTCCTTTTTCATCATCTCTTTCTCAAAGGCCCTTTTCTCTTGCTGAGATGCGAGTTCTTTTTCAAGTCGCTCTTTCTGCCTCTCCAGTTCGTTCTTCAACTGTTCACACTGGATTAAAGCCTGCCAAAGTAAGATGAAGGGAAATGGGGGCTTAGAATTTGGAATAAAATAAAGGGAAAATGAGACAAGCCTTAATTTTATTTACAATCATCACAACTTGTTGTACAGCCCATTAGAATAATTTTATACTTGGTTGTCAATACCAATTACAGATCTAAAATACTATTCAAATGTTACATTTATTCACATATTTCAATTTTCACAATTAAGGCTGTATTAACTAAGCAACTAAAAAAAATTCAGATTAATGGACCCTCAAGAAGGCCACACATGAGTCTAAATTTGGAAAAGGCATGAGAAAAATCAAGTGTTCTAATATTTTCAATTACATGCCATGTTTATACTAAGTGAAATATGCAAGTCTCCAGTTTAACTGAGTTTTCATTTGTTCCTCATTAAAAATGAGTAATATATTTCAAACAAGAAACAGATCAAAATTGACAATGAGACGGATTGGTTATTACATACAGGCACCTATTTTTAACATTATCAAATAATCAGGGTTCCTGAAACTTGATTAACTACAGTAAAAATTAATTAGGTAATAAAAAAAGTTTAGATAAAGAAAGACTCAAAAGAGCATTTACTACCTAGTTTTATAAAATAAGAAGTGTCATCTTTCACTGCTGGTATTTTACAAGTCCATAATTGTTCTTAGTCTCAATTTCCCACTCTGGATTTCTAGAAGTAAAAACTTTCTAACTTCCTTTTGACTACATTCACAGTATCTTTATGTGTAACACCCAAAAATAAGCTAGCTTCAAAATCCCAATTTTAAAAACCCCTAATAAAGCTAAGGTGCTTGACATAGAAAATCTGAGTCATTTTATGATATCTTTGTCTTATTCCAGTGGCTCATATCTAATGTCTAATATCCACCTCATTCAACGGCTACATTCCCCTTAACTGGAAAGCCAAGAAACTCAAGTCTCATATGACCTAAAGACTGCATAAGTATACATCAAGTTATAAGTGGGAGAGAGTCACATTTGGGGATTGAGTCATATTTGTTGTTAATGGAGAGGGAAGTGGGCTCAGTAAGCACCACAGCTTTATGCATAGCTCTGGTTCCCTCTGAAGAAAGCTACAATAAGTATAAGCGGTAAATAATCTAGGGTATGTGAATTTTCTTCTCTTCATCTGGAAAGCATTAAGTCCTAATTTCTTTCAAACTCTTCTGGAAAGTTTCCACACTCCTGGGCACAAAATATGAGAGTAGAACTCAATTGTCTCAGATTAACTGACAAGCACATACAGTGACTGGAAAATGATTCTCCCAGGGACTTTGTCTCAAGTCCAATTCTAGCTGAGAATGCCTGTGAAATAAAACTTTTACATTAGATTTTAAAAGATGTGAAAAAGCATAGGTTTTCTGTAATTTAAGCTTTTGGAGCTTGATAGATTATGAATTTGACATTTTTGTGCTTCAGAACACAATTGCTCTTGTGAAAAAGATATTATATGAATCTAATAAAAATGTTCATAACTTTTGTGGCTAGAATACTACTGGCATGAAAGAATAAGATCACTATTGTATATAAAGCTTCTTCACTGAACAAGAACTCAGGAGCCAGCACTATTAAGCACAGGAAGAGTGGAACATGACTGCTAAAGATCTGAACATCAGGCTAACATGAATGGCAAGCAAAGAATCAATTCCAAGAAGTCAGTCAATTCAGGAACAAGGAGCAGTAAATGATCCTGACCAGTTAAGAGACGTAAAGCCAAGGTAAGATGATATAAACACAAAATCCAAAGCAAGAAGTTGTAAATCACTTAAAACCATGGCTGTAGGCTCGGTTTTTGTGGATGGGCTTCTCCCGGTTAGGACTGGCCACCACGGAGAGGTGATGACTAGGAAGTGTGAAGGCAGTACTTTTATCTGTCTTGATTTCCATACATATGCCTGGTTGCAATGAAGAAAATATTAAGGCTCAGTAACACTTGGACTTAGAAAAGTGCTTTAATCTTTCTAGAGGTATCCTTCTAACCATGGACCTCACATACTAGATAGGCGATCACGGGGAACTAAATAAGTATTTATACACTCTTTCCATTAAAGCTTCACTGTCTCTTTCCAGGGCTCCTGCTCTCCTGGTTTCTGGAATCCCTCCTGATTCTGCTTGTCTAACCATTCGGTAAAGGCGTAGTAACTGAATTATCATGAATGAGGTCAGGTCAGTAAATGGTCAGGGAACCCAGTTGATTTGGGGCCTGTGGCTGCCATTGCTCCCAACGGGGTGGCTTCTTCCTGTCCCTGAGCATGGCCCCTGTTCAGTGGAAATGGCTGTGGCTCTTGAGCTGAGCCAATTACACTAGTCCTCCACTGAGTAGACTCAATCCTCAAAGGACCTTTTCTTTCCTGGGACATTTCTTTATCTGTGGTTATTCTGTGCTGGCCACATAAACACATTTTTTTAAGACATAATTTATTGGACTTGATATTCCCAGCTCCAGTTTTATTAAACCAACGAGTATGTGTTACTCTCTTAATGGGTCAAAACATTTTCTGAAACAAATTTATGTCTCGTCAACTCAATTTTTTAAAATAGGAAGTCTGTTAGGATACATGAAAGTCCTTCCCAAGTGCAAGAGTTAGGTTTCTAGAAACCCTTGTGACCAAAGAACTCATGATTCAAGAATTAAAGATCTTATGAGAAATAATATAATTCACACCTAAAATATTAAATTTAAAATTCACATAAAAACTTGTGACGATGTTTTCATTTTTATGTACAACCCACAAAATACAAATAATCGACTGTCAACACGTTTTAAGCATTTAGCTTATGAATAATGAAAGGCACTTAAATTTTCAATTTATAAACTCTTGTTCCTAGAAACCTATCAGTCTCTATCTCCCATTTTCAAGATGATTATGATTTTTTTTTGTTTTGTGGCAGATAATCTACATATCAAGAAGAGTTATGTTCTCTGTCTGTGCTTGCAATCAAGTGTCCAATTGCTTTCTGATCTTCTTTTTACTTTAGGTTTCTAATTTTCACCTTTCTGATTCTACTATAGTCTAAGAAAAATAATAATTTAGAAAGGAAAAAAAAAGTTTTGGGGACATTTATTCAACCTCCTGGGTTTTATTATTATTTTTTAATCTTCCCGTGGAGGGTTATCTCCTTATAGATATGCTCATGATAACTTCATTCCAAAGCCAACAATTTCCCTTCAAATAGAAGCAAACAGGTCTGAGGCTTGGTTAACCTCTTCATCTTGAAGCTTTACCAAGGCATCACTGCAAAACTTCTGCTTTTCCACCCTCACTTTTTCCCCGAGGTTATTTATTTTCCTCCCTTTTAAAATTATCCCTGGTTGGAAATACAAATCAAAACCACACTGAGATACCACCTCACGCCAGTCAGAGTGGCTAAAATGAGCAAATCAGAGAACTCTAGATGCTGGCGAGGATGTGGAGAAACGGGCACCCTCCTACACTGTTGGTGGGAATGTAAACTGGTACAGCCCCTCTGGAAAACAGTGTGGAGGTTCCTCAGGAAACTAACAATAGAACTCCCTTATGACCCAGCAATAGCACTGCTAGGAATTTACCCAAGGGATACAGAAATGCTGAGGCATAGGAGCACATGTACCCCAATGTTCATAGCAGCAATCTCCACAATAGCTAAAACATGGAAAGAGCCTAAGTGTCCATCAACAGATGAATGGATCAAGAAGTTGTGGTTTATCTATACCATGGAATACTACATGGCAATGAGAAACAATGAAATCTGGCCATGTGTAGCAACATGGATGGACCTTGAGGGTGTTATGCTGAGCGAAATAAGTCAGGCAGAGAAGGACAAATACCATATGTTTGCACGTATAGGAGGATTTGGAGGAACTTGATGGAGGAACAAGGGGGAGAAGAAGGGCGGAAATGGTGGGGGAAAGGGAGAGAGGCAAACCATGAGAGACTCTTGAATGCTGACAAAAACTGAGGACTGATGGATGTGGGGGGGAGGAGGGGATGGGCATGGAGGAGGACACTTGTGGGGATGAGCACTGAGTGTTATGTAGAAACTAATTTGACAATAAACTATTTGTAAAAAAAAATAAAATAAAATAAAATAAAATAAAATTATCCCTGTTTGTAAGGACTTGCAATTTTCAAAGAAAACCAAAACCATGTATTGGTCACTTACTATGTGCCAGATAATTTGCTAAATAGCTTACATGGACTAATTTATTTAACATTCTTGCTAAATTTTAAATAGTTCTTTTTTAAAAAAAATTTAATACTCATTTATTTTGAGAGAGAGAAACAGAGTATAAGCAGGGGAGGGGCAGAGAGAGAGGGAGACACAGAATCCAAAGCAGGCTCTGGGCTCTGAGCTGTCAGTGCAGAGCCTGACGCAGGGCTCGAACCCACAAACCAGGAGATCATGACCTGAGCCAAAGTTGGAGACTTAACTGACTAGGCCACCCAGGCGCCCTGAATTTTAAGTAGTTGTTATCACTCAGCTGAAGAAACTGAGCAGCTTTAAGACATTAAGTAACTTGCCCAAGATCACAGACCTAAAAAGTGGCAGAATAGAGTGGTTCCACAGCTGAATCTATGCACGGCATTGCAATTTTATCGTGTTATAGATTTACTGTCTTATAAAATCCTCAGGTGTTTCACTCCCATCTCCATGTAAATATATTAACATAAAATAGGGGCGCCTGGGTGGCTTAGTCAGTTAAGCGTCCGACTTTTCGCTTAGGTCATGATCTCGCGTTTCGTGGTTTCTAGACCCATGTCGGGCTCTGTGCTGACTGCCAGCTCAGAGCCTGGAGCCTGTTTCAGTCTGTGACTCCCTCTCTCTGACCCTCCCCTGCTCACGCTGTCTCTCTCTCTCTCTCTCCTATAAATAAATAAAACATTAAAAAATATATATATAACATAAAATAATTCCATGTACTTACTTAGCATGCAATATGCAAAATCGAACACTAGATGGCGACAAAAGTCAAGGAACTAGAAGACTAAGCTCAACAGTCAAGTAGTT